ATTGGTGGCTGACTAAATACTTTTTTGCCCCACTGTAACTACATTTTTGCTCTCTGCCACTCGATGCATTTGAGTCAAAGCAGCTTAATTATTTATTGGGGCAGATTGATTTGCTCGTCTATCCGTTGGCAGGCGGGTGCTCGAAAGATAATGGCTTTGTAACTAATGTTGTGGTGGTCTGCTGATTGGATGATTGATGGATTGTTCGGCAAAATAAAATGAGTTGGGCTCTGGCAAAGGGCTGTTTGAGAAGCGTGAAAGGGGATGACATTTCCCTGAGTACAATTTAGTGAATGAGGCCGGGCTTGCCCACCCTGCTGTAATATTTGATCTAACCACTCAACATTGCTGCTGTTTGTCATATTTGTCTAAAAGATGGTCTTGTTTTCCCCCTACAGGCTCTCTACAACTCAATCAAGAATCAGAAGCTGCAATGGACACTGTAAGTCTTCTTATGTTCATATTTTTCACCTTAATTTGTTCTACCTCTCTGTAACAATGATTTACTCAACCACACATTTAAGGAGACACTACTGGTGAAATGGGTAAAAATCGAACTTATAAATATCACCATGAAACCAGCCGAGGTGTTTACTTATTTAAGAGATTTATTTTCTGTATTTCAAGTATAAATTATGCAAATGAGTGCTTACTTTTGCTGAATTTAGGACACATTTAACGACACGAATACAAAAAAGTGCAGTTATCCAACATCTAAATGTGTATTTTGGATTTTTTTATTTATGAATAATGCATGAGAAAAGGCTGTGTTTGGCTGTAGTGTCCTGCCTTCAATACACCCACCCACACACACACACACACACACACACACACACCCACACACACACACACACACACACACACACACTATCTCACACACACACACACACACACACACACACACACACACAGACACCCACACACGCACGCACGCACGCACGCACGCACGCACGCACGCACGCACGCACGCACGCACGCACGCACACACACACACACACACACACACACACACACACACTGTCCTGAATGACAGGAAACAATAAGGGATATTGATAAATCCGTTTAGCGTCTTCATTAATGACGTGAGCGTTGTCTGGCATGCGAAGGAAACATTAGTGTGTCAAGGGTTGCTATTCTCGATCACAGTTGCAGAGCGCCTCAGAGATGCCAATTAAGTCACTAGCTTTCCAAGCTTTGTTGCCATAGTTACGGCACCATGGATACCACTCCATAGCTACCGCATTGCTCTTTCCTCCCTGTGTTCTCTCAGTAGCAAACACACACAGGGTACCAGATGGATATGCCCATGTACAAATGTACACAGGAAACGTGTTTGTGCGGCTTCAGTACATGTGAATGTGAAGGGGAAGAAGAAAAACAATGACTAACAGAGAGAGAGGGATGATTTAAATGGCTCTTTACCTGCATCCTGTACAAAGGTGTGACCACAGCCTCCCACTACCTCTCCAAAAATAGCTGCAGCAGCGCTCCACAAGCAGCAGGAAAAAAAGTGGTCAGAGGAGCAGATCGAGGAGGAGATCCGCAGAGAGCCAGGCAATCCAGTTTAAACATCTCCGCTGACATATAGACAGCTATTTAAACACTGCCACCACATAAGAGGCCACGCGGGGATAGAAAATATGTCATTTGTTTAAGACGCGTAAACACCACCGAGCAAATGGAGAATCCACCTCCAAACAAAAAGTAATTACAGATTAAGAGACTCGGCTCGCAGCAGTGTTTTTTTCCTCTTTGGCAGCAGAGATATGCACATTTTTCTTTTTTCAGCATGCCAGTATCATTGAAATAGAGTAAATCGTGCTCTGAAAACACTTTTTGGAAGCATAGCACAGTGTCACTTTTGCCACCACGTTCACACCCTCCTTGCTTAGTTGATGCATATTTCATCACACAGACAGAGGACATTTTTTCACTTGCTAACTCAGTTGACTGCGAACACAACACCCTGTGACACACTTCTGTTGTGTATCCATTTTGAGGCTGCTTTCGTTTGTCTTGCTCGGAATGTTTGTCCTCATGTTGTGTTCGCAATTTGCAGATTTTTAATCACAACAAAACAAAGTGCGTATTATATTCTGTTATACTTTAACAGTTTTCACACAATGCATTTTCCTCTGTATTCTTGTGCATGATGAAAAACAATTCTGTGAAAGACGATAAACATAATGCATTTTGCTAGTTTATATGAGAATAGTATACTAGAAAAAGAGTGGATTTCAAGGATTTGAAAAGATACGTTTTAAGCCATTAAAGGGCAGGGTTGGCAGTAAAAATAGAACATTTGTATCTTTGACTTTAAAGTGGGTTTGTCTAATATCATCAGGGAGACTATTCCAGGTCTGTGTTGCAAATGAGTATTGGATATAAACAATAAAATAGGCAGTAAAAGAAAGAAAACATTTTAAATACTTCACTAAAGGGACAAATTAGAAGAAAAACGACATGATATTTACATTTACACACGTATATATATATACAGTACTTTACATATTATTGTAGTATGAGTTTTTTCTAATGCAAATAGAAACTTTTTATTCTATATACAGTATAGAGCGGTAGTTTTGATTTTCTAATTTACTAGCAGATTGAGGCTTAATAACAACACTTTGATTGAGGTGTGATTTCAGACACTAAGACAAACCATTTGCTGCAATAACATGGATACAACTTGTATGTGAAATCTGAAATATTGTGTTATTACAGGTGTGTGTCTGTGTGTGTGTGTGTGTGTGTGTGTGTGTGTGTGTGTGTGTGTGTGTGTGTGTGTGTGTGTGTGTGTGTGTGTGTGGGCATAGAGTATTGTAGGACAACGCAGCGTTGTCCTACAATACTCTATGCCCACACACACACACACACACACACACACACACACACACACACACACACACACACACACACACACACACACACACANCGCCGATTCGACATGTTGAATCGGGAGGCTGTCGGCCAAAGAAATCACTCTGATTGGCTGTTCAGCTTAGCGAATCAGTGCATGAGAAGCGAAACGGAAGTGAGGGACCCCAGCCAATCAGAGTGATTTCTTTGGCCGACAGCCTCCCGATTCAACATGTNCTTGGAGAGTTGTCAAGGTGGAGGCTCCTTTCATACTCCATCCATCCTCACTGTATAGTCTACAGCCTGACCCCAGAATAGATTTTGCATCTTCTTGTTACTCTTATTACCTATTGGGTAAATAATATAGTTTCACTACAATGTATGCCTTTGAGATGTTTACATTCAGGTATTTTTTTTGTTGAATGATCTCAAATCTTAATCTTCTTAACATTTTAAGAACAGTCTTCACTCTGTGATTTATTTGTCTTGTTGACTAAGTAGACACTACAGGCACAATTTGATGCCTTTGAAAGTAGTGGAAATAAAGAATTCAAAATATACATTAAGCTATTTATGTTTTATTTTAAATTTGAATAAAACATTTCAAAAGACTTGTCTTGTCTTAATGTAAGTAATCCTGGTTATTTTTACTGAATGTACCTTTTTCTCCTGTAGTGTCTCCCCTAATCGGCTGGATATTTTTGCAATTATTAGTTTAGTTTGTGAAAATAAAAGTAAAAAAATGTAACTTCGGACAGTCTAAACTGACATCATTTTTTAACCAACACACAGCAAATCTTTACCATTGAGAAGCCAGAACCAGAAGATGTTTGACATTATGTGCTTATGTACTGTAGATGGTGTGAACTCGAGTGAAATGTGAGAAGTACCTTTAAAAGCTTGAAATATTGGAATGCATGTGATGTAACTGAATGAATCAATTCCCCTCAGAACACCATGAATGGCACTCAACATGAGTCCGACTGCTCTTCCACAGATTGGCCACATTATAAACAGCAGACGCTATTAATAAACACAAAGCTGTAATGGTGCGTTACATAACTGGTGAAAGATACAAGATGTCAGCTATGGCACATACACCTTTTTTTAAACCATCTAATATAAAGTGAGATCAGTGAGATGATTGAGGCGAAGGAAAGAGAACAAAAGCAAAGAACAAAATGTAGATGAGAATACAAAGCGAGAAACGAGACAAAGCGAGAACCGAAAGGAACTGAAATTACGGCTTTTGTCGATCCTGCTATATCGCAACACCCTCACTGTCCCATAAGAAGAAGAAAAGAAGAAGAAACTTATAATGAAGTTGCAATAACTGAGAAATGTTTGGCATTTTTCATGAAAAATGACACGGATGAAAAGAGTTGCCGATTAACTCCCTGTCATGTAACTAATGATTTCAGCGCTCAAACTGCAGGCAAACACTTGGCTAGGCTTAGAATATTAGATCATGAAAAACGAATTCACATTCAAAGATAACAACATGGGAACTGATGCCGGATGAAAGAAGCAACAAACAGGCTCCAGCATGCTCACGCTAACATCCACAGCGAGACACACTCAAACACTCACTGACTCTACAGTCAATACAAACAGGTGTTGTGTCATTTAGCCCTGCAATACCCAACCCCACCCATCAGGTGAGTGGGATTATATCATGCATATTCACTGCAGGTGCAGCAGGTGTGTTTATGGCTGAAAAAAACGTGAACAGCTTCCCCTGCTGGTCGGATGCCGGCACTGCAGCTGCTCAAGGTGTCGTTCTAAAGCCTGAGTAGAAAATGGCTATGAGGCGTTTATGGCTACCGAAAACACCATAGGCTGCCAACACCCTACTAAATGAAGAGTTCCTTTCTTTTTTTTACATTCTCTACCTTTTCATGCATTTCTTACCCTGACCCCTTTAAAATCATGCTATTAAGTCATAGCCAACCATGCGCTTTCTTTGGATTACTGCAGTGCCATCTGAAATCCATACGTGAATTTCTCTTTTTTTTCTTCTTCATGTAATCCCGTCACAAACACCATTTTGATCATTTACTAATCTTTGATAGGTACATAGGCGTCACTGAAATACTCATATTGTGCTGAATTATTACCACCATGTAAGAAAAAAAAACAACAACATATGATTATCGTGTAGCGCTTTCAGGACTTACAAGAAACGTGAAGTGCGGCCCACCTAACGCATCTTCGCAATAGTGTGTGTGAATATATTGTAAATATACCTTCATATATCCTACAATATAAGCTGCTATATATACAACACATCCTGGATGTTTTACAAAGAGCATGGATAACATATTTTTCCTTTAACATTTTCAATATCATATTTCATCATACACTTGACATACACAGGAGGAATAGGTTCAACAACAACAAACGACTGTAAAATACTGTAAAAATACTGAAAAAACAAGAACATTCAGGGTCTGCCTGGTGAGTGTGAAAATAGGCTATTATAAATGAGAGGCTATTACGGAGATAACACATGTCGGGTATGAAGAAAAAAGGACTTAAATGACCCCAGAGAACAACTTTTGCTGCTCTCAGTTTTTGCCCTTGAAGTAGTAAAAGGCTTAAAAGAAGCAGTGCTGGATGCAGGCATGCGGATCACTGGGGAAAACAACATTCGGCCAAGAAATAGCAAGAGAACAGAAGCACACCACGGGACAGAAGCCAAAGCAACTGGGAAAGAGATCTCCTGTTCAAGTAGAGCAAAAGAAAAAAGAGCTAGATGAGATGCAGTTGCTGCATATCAGGAGTGAAGTTCTACTGACATCTATTTAGCCGTCAGTGCTGAGAGAAAGCGGAGCTGCACTGTCTAATCGCCCTCATCACTCCATCGCTATGTGTTGTGCACAGTGTGTAGATCCACCTTCAGTGAAATAGAAGCTAAAAGCTGTAATGTCCGGCCTGTGTGCGGAATGTGAACACACCGTGGTGATGTGGCAGAAAACAAGGAGCTGGAATGTAAATTGCTCCATAAGACCTGGTGATGTGTTCAGGTCCAGTGACTGTTACAGCGCTCCGATCAGAGCGGCTGCAGCAGTACAACTGAAAACAAGTCGTCTTAAAATGTGATGTTTTAATAGTTTGGTCCCAAAACTGAGTGAAAAGTCAAGAGAAAAGGTGGGAGAACGTGGCTGGAGAGGTGAAAGAAGAAAAGAGGAGAAAAGGAAAGAAGCTGGATGTACGTCCCTGTGTGTTCCATATGAGCACTTCTCCTCCCGCTCATTCTGCGCTGCTCCCAAAGACACATCGTCTCTGCAGATGTGTGACCTCCCACCTCCTGCACCCACACCCCTGCTGGTGCTCCTCTTCCAGTCACAGGATCTGCACCTCCTCAGTCCCACGAGAAGATTGGGGTGCCGGGTAGGGCGTCATGGTTTTGGGGGAAGGGAGTGGGGTAGAGACCCTCCCTCCTGCTCCCCCTTCAAGCAGAGCTCCAAACCCTCCTGGATCTCAAATAAAAACCTATGCAGGGAGACGGCCTGGCAGTGCAACGCTGTGCCGCTCCCGGCGCCCCCCCCGCCTCACTTCTTGACGGCCTGCCGGTAGCTGTGTCTCTGGCCGTCCTGCCGCAGCTTGTCGCTGCAGCCGCTGGCCCGGCTGCTGTTGCCCCCGTCCCGGGCGCTGCTGGTCTTGCTCACCTGGCTGGCCTGGCTGCTGTCCTGCAGCGTGGGGCTGGAGTGGGCCCTCTGCAAACTGTTGTCCTCCAGCAGCTGGGACTCGAACAGAGACAGGTCCTCCTCGCCGCTCCGGATCTTAGCTCGCAGCAGCATGACGTACGTCCCGTACCGGGTTTTCTGATAAAGGCGAGATAGAACTGGTGAGTAGCCTACGGTGAAACATTTAAACTTAAATATAGCACCATTAAACTTCCCCAGTTGAAGACTTAGAGCAACATCATCATTCTAGTATTAATAGGTATCTGATATTTAAAGCATTACTAATATTTAGTAAACATGATACATGTCTTTGTTTGTTAACAGTAAAATAAAAATGTATTAAAGTTTGTGAGTTTATCATTAATTAATTAATTATGGTTATAATAGGTGTTACTGACATGTTATGATTATTAAATATCTCTTTGGATCACTCTCTCTGATAAATACAGTAACAATAAAATACTGTCAACAGCTATTGGAAAAATACATTTTCTCCATGTTGTTAGGAATAGAAACTGATACAAATCAGGCTACGAACAATATGAAGAAACCTTTCAGTTAAAACATCCAGAACACAGATTAATATAAAGTTGGTCACCATAAGAATAAAGAAATGCATAATAAGTTGGTGTATGCAAGTTCCACTGAAGTAGAGATGTAATTTCTCAGAGTATTCCAAAATCTTTAGAAGATACAAACAGTATTTCATACATTTTGCAAGTCTTTAGAAAGGAAAAGGGTAATGGATTTAACTAATACATTTATACACGAAACTCCCCCAGTTGTTTACTGGTATTGTATTACAACTTTGATTAAATTGTTTAAATATGCAAATGAGTCATTATTTAAGGCTAACTTTTGGTGTGGAATTCTGCAGTCACTAATAGACATATGCAGTCAAATAAACCCAAAGCTGTGGGTTGGATGTTTTCTTTCCACTGCTATAAAGCAAAATAGCCAAACAAAATGGACCGGTGAAGATTGGACAGCTGAGAGGGCTGCAGTGATGTAATGATGATTTAACGCTTCACTGCATTTCCCATTTCTTTCTTTTATCTGTGTGCAGCTTACCTCAAACTCCAGGTACTCATCCCGCTGCCGGTACTCTTCCAGCTCGCGCCCTTTGACCTTGCGGTCGGGGGGGTAGGAGCGCAGCTCAGTCAGCTCAGTTGACAGGGCTCTGAAGCGGTTTTCATGAGATCTGACCTGCTCCTCCTGTAAGAACAAGGTCAACACATGAGGGGAGGGGAAGCAAGGAGTACACACCTGCCTCCTTTCAGTTACAGTGTTTGAATGTTCTGAACTGAAATACCATCCTGTTTGTCAGGGTATTGGTGCAACTGAGAAATTAAAAACAAATATCCCGTTCAAACAAGATGAGAAGAATAGAATAACAAGACAAAGAAAAATGTCTTGTTATGACAAAGTGTTCTGAGAAGCTTTTCACTTTCCCGTCACAACAGATCGACTCGAGTGAAAAGCCTGCACTCATAAACCACCAGTGACCAGCAGTGATTTATTACATCAGTGTTAGGTGGAGCGTTTAGTCATGAAAATATAATTCTAATTACTCTGCCATCAAGTTATGAAAAATGATGTGTCCACTCCTTTTGAAAAGGACTTTTTGAAAGATTTGTATCGCCTTGTTTTGATGAATTTCACAGGAGCCTGGACTTGCCTCTGACCAGGTACAGCCAGTGGTGGAATGTAATTAAGGACATCAACTCATTTGTGATAGTTTTGTTTGTGATAAATGTAATTTAAGAGATACGTATTTGTTTCCCACCTTTTTTAATTACACCAAACTCTAACTGTCTGAAATTGGTAAAAGTTGGTTTGAAATCTTTCACTATCTGATTAGATTTTTGGTAGACAATATTAGAAAAGTAAACATTTATGAGATGCCAGCTTTTGTACTTTGCAGAATACAGTATTCAGTGTTACAGACATACATTTGCAGTAGTGGAAAAGTACATTTACTCCATTACTGTACTGAAGCACCATTTAAGGTACTTTTTCCACTATATTTATTTGATAACTTTAGTGACTTAAACAATTAAGCTGTTTGCATACAAATCCAATTATTCTATTCTCACTGTTTCCAGAATTCTAACAAACTAAGCAGTAATCGATTAATGGAGAAAATAATAGGCAGAATAATCCATAATTGAAATGATAATTTGTTGAAATTGAGCTCAACTCTTTCAACTACATCGGTGAAATATTGCTTTAATAGTAAAGCATGAGGAATAATAATGTAGTTTTATAATATGATTTCTTTCACAGGGGACCTTAAAGGTAGGGTAGGTAAGAATGGAGAAACCAGCTCGAGTGCGCTAGAATTTGAAAGTCCACAACCGAAAAAAATCTGCCCCTTCCTTCAGACTTCCTTACAGAGCCCCTCCTCCAACACACACCAACGCGCACATGACCAATGAGGGCACGAGATAAGTTTGTGCACAGATGGAAGGCTGACAGGCAGGTAGGCCATCCAGTTATTTGACCCGGGCCGGGGCAGATAACTGGACGTGCTTTTTACAGCGCTACGGCTTCCACAGATGAAATATTTGTATATATTTTCAAAGCATTTAATGTATTCATTGCTATCGGGATGTTAAGAGCATTCCATAGAATATAACAAAAACTGTTTCTGAAGTGAATTACCTACCCTACCTTTAATATACTAATTAAAGTACATTTTTCTTATTACACTAACAAACCACCATTTTCAATGCAGGACTTTCATTGTCATCTGTTAAAGGGTATCTTTTCAAATTGGTGTAAATCATTTAACCTAACCAATGAATTGAACACTTTCTCATTCACTGTAGAAAGCAGTTCACATTTTAGGGGTCCTATAATGCTCTTTTCGAGGGGGGATGGGGGTGGGGGGAAAACTCGCTCTTGAGGGAACTGTGGCATTTTAGTCTTTGCAGAACATTTACATGAGGAAAAAAACCTTTATAACACACAACAGGAAAGGGAAAAAGCACAATAGGGCCCCTTTAGGATACCTCCGACAGCTTCGACATGGTCCCAGGCAGCAGCGGCCGGCTGAACTTCTTCTGGGAGCCGATGGCTGCTGGGAAAGGAGGAGCTGAGAACATGGTGGCCACCGTGTTGATCCTTGTGATCCAAGACTGCATCTGCTCCGCGTTCCTGTGATGTATAACACGCATAGAGTGCAATTAGAAACAGATCTGAAACAGTAGGTACAACACACACTTATCAGCCCTCTCCATGCCCACATCAGCACATGGCCAGCTTACAGCATCAAAGGGATAATTATCGGAGAACGCAGCCTTGCTGTTGACAAAGAAATTATTTTGGAGCCAATTAATGCATGAGAGAAAAGGCCCTGTTTTACACGAACAGACCCATTAGGGGCCCATGAGAAATGTCAGATTGGCTTAGACAGCCTTGCTTTAATTCCCCAGGGAGCGACGAGGATGGAGAGAGATGGAGAGACAGAAAGAGGAGAGGGAGACACAGAGAGGGGTACAGTATCTGGGACAAATGCAAGCTGCAACTGGAGCACAGAGCCTCCAGGGGGGCTGAAACATGTGGCCAGTCATGTGCCACTTGCTGATCAAACACACACATGCACACCTCCACCTTAATATACATGTATGTATACAGTCCGTCCTGTGCATGTTTCATTGATCCGTGAGCTCTCTGGGTGTGTTCTGCTGAACACCATGTGCACAGCTGGCTCTGCATGCTGTTAGCTGAGGTTGGGTGCTCAGCTTCATTAGACAGTTACGCTACAGAGCTAAAAGTATGGGGACAGCGTATGTCTCTGCAGCTTAATCTTCAGGTTTCCAACGGATGCTTTAACCTGCTGCAGGGATTCGCTCACACTCAGCCACAAGAGCATTAGTAAGCTTCAACACTGATCATCAGGTCTGCCTAATAATCTAACTCCAAATGTAGATGGGGTTAAGGTCAAAAACTCAATGTGCATTAGTGCAGAGTGCAGACCTGTCAAAACTGCTTGGGATCACCACTTATTTTTGGTCTATCGTGATATTGTCGCAATGACGACTTATACCAAATAGCGGCCACAAAGCTAAAAGATCATTATTGTCTTCAAGTGTGTTTGCATGCATAAAACAATTTGGTTGCTAGCTGATTTTGTGTTAAACAAAAACATCTAAATAAGGGCTTTTTTCCCTTCAACAAAAAGGCTGATTTTGCAAGTTATCTTCCGCCACCTTAATGATTCAATATTTTACCACAGAACATTTGAGTACTTGTTAAATAATGAGAGAGAAAGTGCTACTCTGGGATGGGGGAGAAATCTGATTATTTATGAGCTGCATCTATATTCATATTTATAGAAAAGTGGTTACTTGATGTTATCTATCAACCCCCTTTTTGGTTGCAATCATCTATTGCATGTATTCATCTTGGATCATATCTGTAAGAGTGACAGGTGTTTTACTTGTTTTTATATTATTTGTATTCGTATTTTATTCTTGTTTGTTATTTTGTTTCATTTGTATTTTTTATTTGCTTTCTTGAATAAGTACATTTCACCTTTGAGTGATCAAGAAAAGGTCTTAGGTCCTGTGTAACTTAAGTGCATATAAACCCATTAATTTTATGCTGTAGATTTAAAATGTTTGCTCATTTGCACCAAGGGGGCAAAAAAACAACCTTGAAAAATATCTGTAGAACCAAAGGTACACAAACTTGTCCACATACTTTTGACCAAACACTGCCGTTTTGACAGAAAAATTAAAATGGCTCATGCACGCTTGCATAGTCAAGATGAGACACAGGTCAATGTATGGAGGGTATGATTAAGGTTTAGCTCTGGTTTTAATGTTATGGTCTGCTGCAGATGCTGTGCAGCTGTCCGTGCACACGCTCCACAGTAGTGTCTACACATTATGTCAGCTCAGTGAGGAACACAGAGCAGGACTCACGGGGCCTGGAAGAGATACACCCTCCAGTCGGCGGTGCGCAGGTAGAAGACGTTGGGCCTCTTGCTGTAGTCTGAAGCCTTCATGGCCAGAGAGTGGTGGATGGACACGGCGTTCTTCAGGTCCTCCTCTGATAGCTGTTTGTCAGGCCTGTACTCCCCCTGGCAGGGCAGTAATGAATAAGAAATTAATGCTATGATTAACGCCAAGGGGTCTCAGCACTTATTAAAGTGGGAGTGCTGACAAAGAAGAGATTTTATTGGACGAGCAGCAGGAGAGTTTCATGTGAACATACAGTGCTTTGAAAGTATCCCTTGTGAAAACAACGGATCAATTCTCTCATCTAAACGTACCTGCTGCTGGACTACACTCTTAGATATAAAGGTTCTAACTAGAACAAAAGGGGGTTCTTCAGCTTGTTACCAAGTGGGGACCTGTTTTTGGTTCTTGCTAGAACCTTTTATATAGGCTGAGGCTCCAACCTAAAACCCAACCTAAAAGGGTTCTACCAAGAACAAAAGAGGGTTTTACCTAGAACTCAACATGAAAGTGAACTAACCTAGAACCCTTTCAGAGGGTTTTACCTAGAACCCAAAATAAAAAGGGTTCTACCTAGAACGATAGCTGTTGTGTTGGCAGAGGTTGCCCCACATGAAGCCAGGACAATGTGTCACAGCCCTTTTTAAACATGTAAACAGGATATTGGCTGTGACTCCATCGGACATACTGCTTGATATAAAGCATTCTGCAGAATGTGTATGAAAGTAACCCGACACAAAAGAACATTCTGGAAAGTAAAGTAAAAACACTCACAAGTAATACAATTGTTTCTAATACAGACTTTTTCTGGCAGACTAAAAAAAACTAATAAATAACTAAATAAATACCAAAGTAAAATATACTCTGTAATAATGTGAGTTACTTACTTTTTGCAGATAGAGAATAAGCCCTTTGAGGATGATATAGAAGGTCTTCCAACCTCTCTTCCCTCTTGGTGCTGCGAGGAGGAGAAAAAAGTGATAACATCAAAAACACATATATAAAATTGCCTTATATGTTACATTTGTTTTAGTTTTGACCTACTTTCCACTTGATGTATTAGATTAATTAAGTACATGTATGAGCTTGTGTGGATTAACCCTCCAAGTCCAGGAGACAAGGAAATCATTCAATTAGGATTTATTCAAAGATATAAATCGTGAAAGTATGCAGAGAACTAGATACTGCATTCAAAGATGGAGCCTTTTTGCCTTTTGGCTTTAACTATAACTGAACCTTATTTAACTATAACTGAAACTTATTGTGGGGTGGGTAATTCAACTGTATGTCAATGATTTTCTTTCGAGGATTGCGTTTTTTGTTGTTGCAGAAAAAAAGCAGTTAAAAGCTAATGTTTTCAACCCAGATCTGCCTATAATATTCTTAATACTTCAAATATTGAACTGTGGTAACAAACCATACAGTACACTTTCAAAATGATTGGAGAAAAGCATTTAGTGTAAAATAAGATGTATATAGTCAACCTAGAACACGCTGATTCATCCTTCTTCCTCACAATTTTAATTTTTTTACCCGATACAAACTTTAGCTATGAACTTTTCCTTACATTTTTGTAAAGCACTTTATAACTTCAGATTGAGTCAATAGAAATGTTATCAATAATATCAAATCAGAACAAATTAGGGGAAGATCATGTGTAGTGGTAAAACCAATAATTACCTTTGAATATTTTCACTATTTTATAATAATTTAGATTAATCGATTAATAGCTTGGTCTATAAGATGTCAGAAAATAGTGAAAAGTATCCATCCCAATCGCTCAAAATCAAAAGGAGTTGTCTTTAAATGTCTTGTTTAGTCAGCTGGAACATTCACTTCCCAATTATATAAAACAAAAAAGCAAGAAAATCTTTATATTTCAGAGGCTGAAAACAGCATGTGTGCCATTTTTGCATAACAGTTGGCAAAATATTGACTGGCGATGGACTATTCGACATACTGACCTAATGTTGCAGCTCTAACCATGTGTGATCAAAGGTTCAATAATAGATACTAAATGGACCTTGAGGTGAGCTTATTTTGAAACTGTAGGAGGTCAAACGTAAAGAAAAATATCCTTCGTACTTCTCTTGCCGTCAGAGTCTGCGTGCACTTTGCGGACGAGGAAGCCGTTCTTGTAGAGCAGCGACCCGGACGGATGCGCCTCCTCTGTCGGGGGCTTCCCACTGCTGCCCTCCGCCTTCAGAGATCTGGAGGCGGTGGAGTCACACAGGCTGTCCCCGAGCTCCGAGAACGACTTCCGCAACTCTTCCTCGTCGCTATGGAGACAAGAAAAAAAAGAGAATGAAAAAAAAGAAGCAGATCCCATGGTGATCAACACTTATGTGTCATGTCTCATTTGCAATGCGAATAAACACATCATCATTCATCCTGTCCATGTGCCTCTCACTCTGTGCTTGTTACAGGACAACAGGTCCAGAGATTTCACACACTTACTGTACGCGGGGAACTTTTATTTTCATACAGAACACATGAGTAATATCCAACCTCTACGGCTGGTGTGTTGCCAGAGCTTTATAGTTGCACAAGACATTTACAAAGCATCCTGTAAGCTACCTTCAAAGCTTTAACTGTGTGTCTGCTCCGGTTCTCCTGGGAAGCACTCTCCTTGATCAAAAAAGATCCACAGCTAAGCTAAAGAGTGACACCATCTATCTTGCTCCACCTTTGAGGTGAAAAACAGGGGCATCTTTACCCTGGGGGGGGGTCGGTCGACTCCTCTCAGAAACACAGGCGCACCACTCTTACTCCTCCACCCTCTTGAAACCTCATAGAGTACTTTAATACTTCATAGCACAGTGATACAACATAACATCTCAGTCTTATCTTATAAGCCAGCCTGGATGACGGCTCTTTAAAATGCGCAGAAAGAATGGAAATGTGATCTACATTTCAGCTCCATCTGCAGAGGAAGACTGTGTGAAATCGAAGGTTTCACAACAACTGAATTGGTGTGAGAATCTTATTTATTTGTGTGAACGGAAATTGTGTTCATATGGAAGACATTTAATAAACACCTCTTAGATACTAGCCTGAGGTATGTCCTTATCAACTTTTAGTACTACACTACTACCTACAATCATTTTAAAAATACATCTGAAAAGTATTTAAAGACACCCTTATGCTTCCTGTGGTGTGTTCCAGGTTGTTGTGCATGTAAATGGTCCGCAAAGGCAAGAATAAAAAGGTGGCTCACGTAATGACATCATTATGTTCATCACACTAAAGCTTCTATTGGCTAGCGCTGCAGCAAATTGTACGTGATAGGCGGGACTGTTACTGCTTATTATTGGAACTTTTATGAATTATTTAAACTTTGTTGTTTTCTTTTATCCTTTACTTCTTTAAATCGACTATTGTTTTTTATTTGGGATGGTATCTTTGTAATACATTTTTGGCTACTAACTACTGCATAATGTTCAAACCTTTACCTTAATAGTGTTTTAAAAATGTGTGTAGGTGAAATTTAAAAGATACAATAAATAATACAAATAGACAGCACAGTGTAAAGCACCATATCTGATAGGAATGGGACACAGCTAAATAAATCTGACCAACGTTGTGGCTAACTGTAACATAGTTTCATTTCCATTATTAAAAAAGTATTACAGAAACTGCAGAAAAGATAATTTACCAGCTTCTGTTTTTTAATAAAGAAAGTTTTCAGGCTGTGAGTTGTTGCTTAAGTTTCTGCGCAGATCGCTCATTAGAAACATTCCTTGAGGAGCCATCTCTGTAAATGAGGAGTGTTCATGAGCTGCTGAGTTCCTGTTCAGTTGACTGCAGCTTTTTTATTAAACTACTCTGATTTGCGCTGTACTGTAAGTGTTCTTGTGTGTGTGTTTGTGTGTGTCTTTCCAAAAAACATGTATCTTATTTTGGTCTTTTCCATCTGTCTTCTATCCACCAACAATACATTTAACCATTGTTTGGATGATGAAATACTTTTGTGACGGTGATTTCATTTGGATAAAAGTAGCATTTCTTTTTTACCATTTTTGTGTTTTAAATAGTTTTCATCCCTTTTTTATTACTTTTACCAAATAGTCGTCCATTTTATTTTCATTTGTAGACATTTTTTAAGTTTAATTATCATTTTTTATCATTCCCTTTTTTGTTTCTATTTTAATGTATATTCCAGTTTATTAACCCTTGCTTTATTTCGTGTTTTATCATGGCTCTATTACCCTTTTGTTACCGTTTCAAAAACACCATTTTGTTTATTTATTTAAAAATGTGTGTTTTGTTGTAATGTAAATTCATGTCAACTAGCCCCTTTTTTATTTTGTACATGTTTGATTTTTTTTTTTTAATTTATTTTTAAATTTATTCTTAATTCTATATCTTTTTTTCTTTACCAACTGGTATAATATTTGGTATCTGTTGTTGCTTCTATTATGCCCTTTTCTTTTTTAAATGTGAGCATTTCCCTTCTGTTTTACTTTTTACTTTTTTTTAAATATTGTCTCTATTAATTATTATTTGTGTGTCCATCACAGCATTTATTTTCATCTGTTCTTTAAATTCCCTCGAAATGTCTGTTGCTGAGTATATGAATTGCTTGTATATATATATATTACCGTATTGTATGTTTTGCAATGGAAACAGCCAGACAATACTAAGTGTACACATTACTACAGCAGCGCTAATCCCATTCTGCTCTAAATAACCGCTCACAATACGCTGTATGGATTCTTCTAGTGTTTTTTAAAGGGATTTGTCACATCAGGAGATGATAAATGCTTTGAGCATCAACACTGAACGTCTCTGCCTGGTGAGGTAACATGGCAATTCCACTTGTTACCTCACCAGCCGGCACCCATGTAAAAGTTCAGCCCAAAAATAGAAAGATGGCTGTATGCCGAACCCCCCGAGACCACGCTATGAGTAACCAACAGAACATAACAGCAGTTAACCCCGTGCAGGAGCCAGGGAGAGAAAAGGGAGACGGAGCCAATGAGCATGCAGCCTGTTGCCTGGTAACTGCTGGCCTGCTTCAATACCATTCTACATAGAGGCAAAGTGGAGAGGAGATAGATAGGGGGGAGGAGAGAGATAGAGGAGTGAGGAGACAGAGACAGAAGAGGGGGGAAGACAAAGCTGATCCTTCTTAGATGGCAGAACATTATCCTCAATGATGTGAGTGAGAGGAGGAGGGGAGAGGAAAACAATAACAAAGGAAAGGAAAACAAAAGGTTATGAAAGAAAGGAAAGGAACAGGTAAGAAAAGGAAGGAATACAGAAGATAGCGAGAGGAAACATTTGAAGGAAAGGAGAGGACAGGATAAGACTAATGAACACTGAACTAAGGAAAGGTTGCGGAAAAAAGTAAATAAAGAAAGAAAAGAAGGTGACAAAATGAAAAGGAAATAGATCAAATAAATGATAGCAAAGGAAGAGAGAGGATTGGTGGTTTAGAAACATTGGAAAAAAGGAAGGTAACAGAAAAAGGAAAAAGGAAAGGAAAGTACAAAAAAGAGACTAAAGAAAAGGAGATAAAAGGAAAAGGTAGGAAATATTTTTTTTAAAAGATTAGGAAAAAAAGAAAGAAACAGAGGTAACAAAAGAAAGGATAACAACAACAGTGGAAATGAAACTTATCAAAAGAGGGAAATTGATTGGGGGAGGAGAGAAGAGGAAAAGGAAAAACACATAAACAGGTAAGGAAAAAGAAAATGAAATGAAAAGAACAAAAGGAAAAGAAGCAGGGCATGGAGCAGTAGAGAAACAAGGGGAAATAATGACATTCATAGAAAAAACCGGGAAAAAAAAGAAAAGAAAAAAGAATGACCATAAAAGAAAGAGATTAAAAATACAGGCAGGAAAAAAGTAAATTCTAGGAAAATAAATAAAAGAATAGAAAATGCAAGGCAAAATACTAGAAAGAAAATGGAAATAAAACGAATGAAACTGAGAGAAAAGAAAGACAATAAAAAGTCCATGAATAATGAACATTGATATATATATGTATATATATATATATACATATATATATACATATATGTGTATATATATATATATATGTGCGGATGGCAAACATCTGGCAGGTGAGAGATGGAGGCAGCAGACAATAGTGAGACAGGGGATTAGCAGAATGAAAGGAATAATGGAGCAGAGGGGGTCTCACCTGTCCCTCTCCCATCACTCATTTCACACATTTCAATATCCACGCTGCACTCATCATGTCCTACTGTCATATTCTACAGAGGAGTACTAGGGTCATGCATAATGGAAAAAAAAAGAAAAGGCAGATATTCTTTTTTGCATCTCAATTTATGTAAATGTATATTCTGGTGACCACATCACAATACAGTAAATGTTTTGTAAACTCAATTAATAAGAGTTTTTTTTAAGGATCCTTATGACAATCATTTTTAGTCTAACAGGCTTTACGGATAATCGGTGAAAAATTAAAATAAAAAAGACTTGATTTACTGTATGCTGCAAGTTTTAATTTGTTCAATATAAATAAGCTGACAAAATACAGTGGGAATGTCTGGTTATTTGAGAACCACATTTCTTCTCACCATTCCATAGCAATGGGGCGAAATCAAGCGAGGATCACTAGATCATTTGAGAATAGCTACCTCGGAGAAGAGCTTTGAAAGATTCTCGACTGGTTGACACATTTCTACTGTTGCACGGTTTATACTGTCATATCACCCAACAAAGACAAAACAAAACACCAGCAGAAAGACCAGACAATATAATCAATAAGGACAGAGGATATGTCATGTGATCAGGATGGATATGCCAGTGTGAAGTGATATGTTTTGAGACAAAATGGAGACAGAGTCAATATTCCAGATGTCAGTTGGGAGGGAGTTCAAGAGGCGGGGTGCAGAGCGGCTGAAGGCTCTGGACCCCATGGTGGATAAACTGTGACATGTCTCCATGCTTTAATGTTCAAAGAGCTCTTGATGTTTCTCATACTGCCTGTGCTGCAGCACCTCTTTTCACCCTCTGTCTGACACCAGAGTCCAGTCTGTTCTGATTGGCTAGCTAGATGGCTCTGTTTTGATTGGGCAACCGCTTACAGATGTCCCTCCCCTTAGCCTATTACCTATAGTGTGTTGCCAATAGAAACACAAGTGTTACATAGTGATGTCACTGAAGTAAACAAAGGACTACAATTGAGGCGTTTCAGGCCGGCAGGGAGAAGATCCCTTTGGAGGGAACATAGAGAACAACCTATATAACATACTACAGGAAAGGGATACACCAAAGAGAAAATATAGAGCCCCCATAGGAATAAGTTGAAATAATAAAGAATGACATTCAATACAGTGAAATAAAAATGTCCAGTGTCAAAATGATCAAGATAATGTTCAGGTATCAGGAAACCAGTTGAAATACCCTTACGGGACTCAGGTTGATGTATCAAGAACAAAGTAGAAATATTGAGAATAAACGTCAGACTAAAATTGGATCCTCAATTCTACTGTATTCTAGACATTTTGACTTCATTCTCAACATTTCCACTTTAATCTCGAAATGCAATTCCAATTTCACCATTTACACAAAGTTTCTATCAACAGATCTCCGACTTGTTGCGTTTCTCTTTTAGTGCCCACCACCACCACCTCTCTGTGCTCCTCGCCATCCCTGCTCCTCAATGAGGAAGCTTGTGTGTACTGTATACATCTCTGTCTCTGCGGTGCGTGCGTGTGTGTGTGTGTGTGTGTGTGTGTGTGTGTGTGTGTGTGTGTGTGTGTGTGTGTGTGTGTGTGTGTGTGTGTGTGTGTGTGTGTGTGTGTGTGTGTGTGTGTGTGTGTGTGTGTGTGTGTGTGTGTGTGTGTGTGTGTGGGCCCCGGCACAGGACGTTATCTGACAGTGTTTGTGGGAGTCTGAATCACGCTCGTAGTGTCTGCCGGGCAACCTTGGCGACATGGCCGTAGGAACAGCGAAATGATGTGTGTGTTTATCTAGCCTACTGGTGATAGCCCCACGGCCTTGTGGGCAATGCTCCTATATATACAGGCACTTTCAAACCTCCACAGATAGAAATCGAAGTCCTCTCTACAGCACGCTCAGCCTTTGGTTGACTTCTCTCAAGAACTTTTACAGCTCAGTCAAACTTGCATCTTTTTGATCGACTTTCTTTCCCAACGTAATTATTATCTTTAAAGCTACAAGAACAGAAAATGCTGCCTGCAACCTTCAAACTGTGTGCTGGCATCTCTTATCTGCACACGAGGAACATGACAGGTGAGTAAAAGAGACATTGGGGATTTTTCACTCGCCAAGTTATTTCCGTCCTTTCCTTAAAAACGCATCGTATTTATGAAGTTCTGCATGGAGCCCAGATCAGTGGCTAAATGAATCAATTAAGGAAGAATCTCAGGGTATACTGTAATAGATCCATGGATTTAGAACTGTACTAACTGTTTAACTTTACTCCCAGGTTTGAGGAAGAATGCCATGGTGGCCATTCACCATGAGCTGAACCGACTGGCAGGTCCCGGCCCGAGCAACTGGATCAGCCAAGTCCGCCGACGAAGCTCCCTCCTCAGTGAGTACTTACATGTGAACACTTGAAACAGAAGAAAAAACGCTGCCATTGAAACTGCACATAAGTCTGAATTATAAACAGATAGTACAATGATTTGCTTGTGAGGTATTTCTCCTAAAAACGCAGAAACATAATAATGGAATTGGATTGAAATGTTTTACTCTCTAGGTTCTCGGATTATAGAGGAGGAGGGCTACAGCGAGGAGGAGATGTCTTATTTGAAACAAGGTGAGGATGCACTGCAGAAGGCCATCAGCATCCTCAGCCAACAGGACGGCTGGACCATTGAAACGGTCGCAGTGAGTACAGAGACTGGACACACAGAATAAAATAATGTATTTGACTGCATCATGAATAAATTCAAACGTTGCAGCTGCTGCCACCTTGTGAACAAAGGTTTGACTTTCACGACTTAACGTTTTGATGAGGATATGTAATGTAAACATAATGTTATCAATTGGCATCCGTCCTCAGGCAAACGGAGACAAAGTCCTGAGTAAAGTGTTGCCTGACATTGGGAAGGTGTTCAAGCTGGAGGTGATGTTGGAGCAACACCCTGACAATCTGTACCAGGAGCTGGTGGGAAATATGGAGCAAATGGGGGAGTGGAACCCTAACGTCAAACAGGTTAAGGTATGAGAGATACAGCGCAAGGGGTTGGAATTAGGGCTGCAATTTAAAATCACCTTTATTAACGAGTAATCTGCCAAATTATTTTCAAGATTGGTAGAACAATTGTTTAGTATAATAGTCAGAAAATATTGAAAAATGTCCATTCCATTCAAGGAAATATCTTGAAATGACTAGTTTTCGTCTGCTGATTTAAATTCAGTCTAAAACACAAATACCAGACAAATATATCATATATATGCAAGGAAACAGATAGATTTTCACAATGTTGTTCAACAGATCCTTCAAAAGATCGGCCAGGACACAATGGTTACCCATGAGGTCGCTGGAGAGACCCCTGGAAATGTGGTGGGGCCGAGGGACTTTGTCAGCGTCCGCTGTGCCAAGCGCCGTGGCTCCTCCTGCTTCCTGGCAGGAATGTCCACTCAGCACGCGAAAATGCCCGAGCAGAGGGGGGTGGTGAGGTAAGTGCCCACATTGTTTATTTGTTGTGATATCTGCATGCATCATATTACATTATTCATGTACCATGAGTGGAGTATGTTATGTATCTATGTCCACCACTAGTTTGCAATGGAGTAATGGGAATACCGTACGACTTTTACATTTAAATCATCCTATTTTTAAGAGCGGAGAATGGACCCACCTGTATAGTCATGAAGCCCTGTGCTGAAGATCCAA